TTACGATGTGTACACTCATGATCCAGTACGGAGTGTACATGATGCAACGAAGTTTGCCGTGTTTACGCATTGCCGCCACCAGCCAACTGTAAAGACATCGATAATTTTCCCATTAGAGTGTGAGTTTTAATTCTCTTTATTATCAGCTTCCTGGATACCCTTGCGAACCTCACCATTACCACCGACCCCCAGTAGGAGCTTTTTAACTTCATCACTCGATTAAATTGAATATTTTTTCAGATGTTGAAGAGTCTAATGAATCCCTGCTAACCGGTGCTGTGTTTGCCACTGTAGTCGGCTTTGGTATCGCCATAGCGATCGCCTTCATCGGCTTATGCCTTTATTATTTGTGTCGTCACCGCATCAGAGCTGCTATCACTCGGCAGAAGAAGCCCTCCTCGTCAACAACAACAGCAACTTGCCAGGGTTGTGTCAGCTTGATTGCCGATCGAGAGCTTTACGCTTTGGTAACACTCCCGTCGGTCACGCCCTCCTCGGTAAGTGTTGAGGACAGTCGAGTTGATTATTTCGGCCTTTATCAGTCAAACTCCCATACAGCGCTTCGGCGCTCACCAGTCCCCGCAACATCATGTAGCTCAAGAACTACTATGTCTCCGATAAGTGACAATGAAATCTACATGAGTGTCCCAGACCATGGGGCCCGTTCGTAGTGTTCGATGCATATGAGTCCTTGATGAGTCACTCATCATGAGTCACTCATCATGAGTGGGATGATGTGGGAATGAATCTGTCTTATTTCCAGTGGACGATTCCACATTGAGTTTTTTCTCCTTCTTATGAATACCATTTTGTGAATCAGCACGGGTCTTCGAGATAAACCATCACCGTATTCGTAGCTCCTATATGATTTCTCTCCGTCACCCTCTCGAGGTGACCACAATTGTTTCCATTTTCCGGATCAATCGAGTCGTTTGAGTTAAGACCAGTCGGGCTCTTATTCCCTCTGACACTGGCGGTGAATCTGATCACTTGAAGTGAATTTCAAAAGCTAGAGAGCATACTTCAGAATAATCGTTGGTCCTGAGCAACCGGAATCTTCGGGAGGTCATAACAACCCCAGGATGAATAATATTATCGCCGTCGGCATGTGGCTCAGCCACAGTGGCTGGTCAATACAGCCGAAGCGTTCTTAAGTGACGAGCTTATGCCTTTGTAATTAGCCTGCGTATGTCGAGTGGATCATTGGGAGCAACTTACTTTTACTATCTAGGGGTCGCCTGTCCATGATACAGGGGCGACTGTCACTACTACGATCGATGCTCCTGTTGAGCCTACTACTCCCACGTCCCCTCTACCGGTCAGCACAGCTGCTGTGACCGATGAGGTTGTTGCTACTACTGTGGAGACGACCGATTCCGAGACTACTCTCAGTCCGATTGTGTAGCCGATTTAGGTTAATGAAGCTTTGTAATGCCCGGTGAGCGCATTTAATACAATCCGGGCCACTGCATGATGTCTTGATAATGAGTGTATAAGTGTTCATCTGTCCAAGTTGTGTTGGAAACGTTGCGTCGTAACATCATGAAAGCATCGACGCTATACCCCAATACGAAACCTATTGACAGTGCATCAGAGATATCTGAGTGGTTCCGAGATTGATGAGCGAGGGCGGGCAAGCCGCACCACAATGATCCTCTTACCAACTAGCATGAGCCCATGTTGGTTCTCCAGTGTCTGAATTCCGATTGCTGATATGCTGACAATTCTGTTGATAGTGAGTTGAAATACAGAGGTTAGATATCCTAGAATCTCTGATGTATCCTTGACAGCTCAATGTGCTCTTATCAAGCTTCACATGTGTGACACCGAGCAAGCATCAGGGTGGATGCAATCGGAGGGCGAGCTTGTTACTCGCGGGGCTCCCTATGGGAATCAAGCCAACTGTGGTGCTGACAGCACCGTGCTGTGTAGATGCCCAGCCGCCCAGCCAATGAGGTTTATCCAGCTGAGTAATTATTTTGAGATTATGCCTTGACAGCGGTTTCAGATGGATTGGACGACGAGGAAGTTCCAGTATGACCCGATGAGGAGTCATGAACTGTGCGCTACAGCCACGCAGAGTTAGAAGACGTACACGAAGCCCGATCGCTGCAGGTTACACAACCCGTTGTAAACTGAAATATATTCCCCTAAGCGTTGATAGTGAGCGGCGACGAGCGATTGCCCTGCATGATCATCACATTTGCCTTGGCAATCAGAACGAGCCGCAGACCCGAACCAGGAGATGTCTAATCAGTTAAAACGGTGCTTGCGAGAAGCCGACCAAACTTCTGGGAAGAAGAGCGGCTGAGAACGCACCGCGCACCACACTGTATAAGATGCAGTATCTTGTGAAACGATTAGGCGAGATAGACATCGGGCGCACTATTGTTCAGCTAGAGCGAACGAACATCATTGGACATACTAAGGCTTGAGCGATTTGCCTAATTAGCATCAATCTATGGGGTTAGCATAGGCCCTCGCAGGTCCAGTCTAGCTCCGCACTTCCCGCAGTTTATTCACATTCGTGGAAGATGACTATCCGTTCCTTCCCCTTCGTCATCGTTGGTCTCAGTGTTCTTCAGGGCATCACATACGTGATGGGTAACACCACCGAGTGCGATGCCGAGTGTGCCGCCACCTATCCCGGGTCGTATTGTAAATACTGGCAGACACCCAGCAGGTGCTTTGGCTCGAACGTCCCTTGTTCCTGCGGGTCGGGTGGAACAACTGAAGTTCCCCGTAATTGTGACGCTGGTTGTGCCTCGGATACTCCTGGCTCCTACTGCAAGTACTGGGCTACACCAAGCACCTGCCATTCATCCAATGCGCCATGCACTTGCGAGGTTGCTCCAGTTACCACTACTCCAAGTGAAGCCACCGATGAAGTCACTGAGACCACCACAATCCAGGACGGCACAACTGCCGCTCCCGAAGAAACCACTACGGCCACTTCTGTTGCTGTCGACACTACCGGCACGGCCAGTACGACTATTGTGACAAGTGGAGTAGCAGACACTACTGCAGCTCCCACGACTACTGAGATGATAACTTCGGCTGAGCAGACCAATGCTGCGACTACTTCATTGCAGGTCACTACTGAAACTTCGGACGACGCAGTCTTGACAACGACCGAGGCTACCGTGGCTGGGGAATCTACTGAGGTGCCAACGACGGTTGATGCAACCACGTTCGGAGGAGTCGCCACCGATGCCCCAACCACCACAGAGTCTCCAGTTACGGGTTCTGGTGTCACCACTACGGGCGAGGTTATCACCGAAGCCTCAGCTACCACCACTGGAGAGGTCGATGCTGAGACAACTATCAGTCCGAGTACGTAGACTTACGTGCAATGAAGCTTTGGAATGTTCGGTGGACCGCTTTTTCCTAAAACTGCGGCACTGCATGACGTGTTGATAATGAATGAGTGCTTGCTTTCGATTTGCGTTGATAGCAACGGGCCGCCTCATCGACCTAAGGGGGGGGG